TCTTCAGGAAACTTCCTATTTGTTTGTACTCCTCCAGGCTGGAGCACATGATTTTGGTACCGATGCTGCAAAGCTTGAAACGTGGCAGCAGCTTGTGTTTTGCCAGTTCGGCACCTAGCTTGGCAACATCCTTCACCAGCGTGAAAAGCGGGGGAATTAGCTCTCTTCTTGCAATGGGAACGGCGTCACCATCGCCATTTTCTTCCGGGAGTACTGCATACTGGTTGGCTTGCAGTACTCGTTTTCCGGGGTCATCCTGCGACGCGCTGGGCTTGATTAGCACCTTCTTTGAAGGGCCCGCTGCTAACTCATTGGCACGTTTACGCACCATTTGTTTCGTGTTTGCAAGTTCAAGTAAACTTGCCAGAACGCGAGAAGGTGGCGACACTTCCACGGCGCAACGCGACAGCACAAAACGAAACAAAATTGAATCGAAAACTCGAGCGGAAATACGGACTGAACACCTCGACAGTCGAGCAAAGAATGGTGAAATATGTAGGGGAGAACAGTACATAACGCACCCCCGGGGTATGACGCACTTTTTCATTTTATTTTGAGTTTTTCTTGGAATTTTTAATCCAATTCTAGGATTTATCATGCAGGCTTTTGAGTACAGATGCTATGCTAGAAGTGCTGCTTGATAAGACAGCAAAAAAGTTACGTAAAAGCAATGAAAAACACAAATGAAAGTCAGCTGGTGCGTTCTGCCCAGGGGGTGCGTTGTATACCATTCTCCCCTAGTGAGAACAACCCAGCATTAAGCTCGCTCATGTGAGCATGCGCCATGTGTCGTTTGTTCGATTTGCGCTATATTGTTGCGTCCGTGTTTGGGATTTTTCGTTACATGGCTGATTTTTGATTTTTTAATGTGACCCCCAGTATGGAAACTTAAGACGTAGTCCTACGTCAAAAATATCAATAAATGTACTATGATTTTTCGAATATTTACATGAGAATTGCACTTCGTAACTTCGAATGCCATTTTCTCAATGCCTACTTTTTTCCATATGGGACTGATTTGCGATTATAGGCAGGATAGTAGCACTTCACTTTCACACTGGTTCCGACCGGACTCGATTCTCTTTTGATATGGATTTTTCACGTTTAATAAAACACGCACCGTTTTCCTTCTCCGCCACTCACGAACTGGCAGTTGGAAATCCTTTTTAGTAATATATGGAAATATGCATTTATGATTCACTATTAACAAGGCATAAAAAGTAACAAGGATCAAAATGTGTTCCTTTGATTACTGAAAAATTCTGTTCCCCAAGTTTGAAGTAGGCAGAACTTGGGGTTCAGTTGTAGATCATATACCAGCAACGCACCACGAAAAGGTGATCTACCAGCGTTACTGATTTTACGCGGTAAAAAGACCTGAGTGTATTTCGATCTAGGTTGGGCGAATAGTCGCTAAAGGCAAACCACAGAGTCTGTGGGTTACCAGTGTTGCTCATTTTAATAACCACTGCTGTTGCATCCCTCCAACGCAGAAACATGTCAACCTTCCGTCGAGAAGCCCAAAATTCCAAACGTTGTACTTCAATTTCACTGGAAAACAAAAGACAAATATTTAACAACAAATAGCATGCAAATACAATGCTTCCTCTGATCCACTCACTTACACACCCACAGGCGGCAGCACCGGACCAATTCCAACATCACATGCCTCTTTCCGAAAATCCGATAACAACGAGCAAGGATATGATATATTTTCCGCCTAGGATTCCTTTTAGCCCGAATGGGTGGTTGACTGTGGCTACATTTCAGTGTGTCGTTTCGCAGGCAAACATCTTGAGACGTGTAGCCTTAAGATAGGAACGTTCCGGGAATAGAGCTCAAGTCGAGTTTGAAACTATGTATGTATCTTCTGCATTCATGTGACGACGACGACGACGAAGCCGGAAAGTCGTACTACGCTTGTGTACCGGGGCGGAATGATGCCCTCTCGGGGAATTTGCTGTCGTCCGGTGGAATATTTTTGGATTGTGCTGGATGCTAACAAAGAGAGGATGATTTTTTTCTTTCTTTATGATGAACGTCGAGTGAAAATCTTGATAAATCTGTAATAATACATACTTCGCGTAAGCCATGAGAATCCTTTAATTGGAACAAATGTTATCTCATGGACGCTAAAATAACAAAAATTATTATGTTTTGGTTCGCATTAATTTTTGACTTAACATCCAGGCTGAGACTAGAATATATCGATACCTTAAAATGGTATGGAAGTTAGCACCCGATCCACCAAATCATCAATATTACATACCGGACGTCGCTGACGCTGCACCACACCAAGGCAATCAACCCGTGAAGAATCCAAGCTGATACTAACGAGTAGCTGCTGCTTAGTTTGCATTTTGTACTTTGATCATTCAATTATGATTTCAAAATTGTTTCCCATTTCTGCTTTGACCGTCAACGAGTTCGTGTCCTTTTGACGTAGGACTACGTCTATGATTTCTATATGGGGTACACTTTGTAAAAACTAAAAATGGAACATGTAATAAAATTATGAAAGATTTTGAACGTTAGTAACTCAGCTGCCCCTGGTCCAATTTAAATAATTTTAACACCAATCGATCAGAAATATTTCTACGCATCAAAATCAGAATGTCACAATTGAATGTGCAACTGTTGCTATGATAATTAAAATTATCACCGATTTCACTAGCACAGATTTCAAAGTTGAATTCCATCCGGTCTCACCAAACGGTATTTATTCAATCACCGCGTGGTGAGTGGTGGTGTTCTCCAATACACAACGAAAGGCTGCATTCAAGCAGCGAGCTGCAGCCCACATGTGCATCCATAGAACGAGGAAGAAGCCGCACCGTTATTGATCGGAATCAGTAGCTCTTTGTGAGTCACTATGGGCTATCTATGCCAAGCGAGTCACTCTCATTCCAAATATACAGCTCACCAGCCTCATCTATGTTTAACACCCTAATAGCTCAACATTACTGAACCATCGCGACAAAACGGTCCTATTCAGGACCACCATAAATTTGAAAAAGATCATCAATCGGATGTCAGTTCCCATATCAAGATAGAGCTGGAATTTGGGCGTAACAGCTTTTGTAAACAATGACTTCTTTCGATGATGTCTTGAAAGTCAAGGCTCGCCCACGCAAATCAACAGGTAGGGCAAGCCATCCCCTACCCGACGGTAATGTTGGTTTGCGTGGGCGTGCCTTGAATCCCTTCCAGCTCTATCTAGATATGTGTAAATCTAACACACCATGTACTTTAAGGCAACATTGGGGGTGCAATTTCAAAAACCAAAGTTGGTCGCGACATGAAAGTTGTCTGATTTAGATCCAGATATGATGGATTTTAATTCTTAATGAGCCAATCTACAGGATTTTTGTCTACGAATATGTTAAAATTAAAATTTTATAATTTTTCAAAATGTTACTATTGAAACTTGCACGAATGTGCAACTGTTGCTATGATAATTAAATTTTCCCTAACACAAATTTCAAGGTTGGATTGCATCCGGTATCACGAAACGGTGTTTATCCAAGCACTGCGTGGTGAGTGGTGGTGTTCTCCAGTACACAATGAAAGGCACCCCGCAAGCAGCTAGCTATCAAGGGTGCTCACAACCGCTGATCGAATTCAGTTCCAATCACCGTGTGTGGTGATATGTGGTCATCGGCATCAGCAGTGCTTTCGGCGCGTGGCGTTGAACATTGTTCTCCAGTACACATCGAAAGGCTGCCTGCAAGCAGCGAGCTGCAGCTCACATGAGCATCCATAGAAGGAGGAAGAAGCCGCACCGCATCGGAATCAGTAGTTCTTCGTGAGTCTCTGTGGGCCATCTATGTCAAGCGTGTCATACTAAAGAGTATAAACAGAAAGAACCCCGCTCAAATTCCTATTCCTACAAAAGAACACAAGCTCCTGCTGCAGTTAACAAATACGATTTATTATATATTACCACGTAGTCCTACGTCACCATTGCGTGCAACCGCAAAGGGCTGTCCCTTGTAGTTTTTTTTTTAAATCCGAAAATACCCTTCAAGTCTTAACTTGGATTAGCCTGGCAGAAGAGGAAAAATGCCATAAAAATAATACCAAACAGTCTCTTTAGTTCTTTGTTCGGCACAGGCTGTCACTCGTCGGTCGATGTCATTTTCACTTTCTGCTGTTGCCCAGTTTTGATGAAGAACGAATAACAATTCCTGGCAAAACATATAATCACGTAGCAGGTTTCCAAAAAGATAAATTGCTTGGACAGGTCCTTACCTTGTCCCTGTTTCAACAGGGCCATGTATCGATTTCAGTGCTTTAGTTTGGGTCGATTTGAGGTTTGGTTTCGAGATGGCATTTTCTGCGGCAGTCATTGGTGCAATTGGAAGTAAACAAAGCTTCGATACTGGACAGGTGAATTTTCCCTACGGCGTTTGGACGGTGACGACTCTTGTGATTCCGTCCTCTTCAGGATGAAGGTCCAGGATTCTAGCTGTACGCCATCTCATCGGAGGAAACTTCTCGTCCTTGATAATCACCAGTTAATTTTTGGCAATTTGTACCGGTGGGTTGCACTATTTGGTTCTTGCTTGCAGGGTGGACAGACATTCTGCACGTCATCTCTGTTGAGTGTCCAGCCCCTTGTACTCAACAAGTCCACTAGCCCAGTGGGCTATGTAACCTTTCGATGGGGACAAAACAGCCCACTGGGTTAGTGGACTTGTTGAGTGCAAGGGGCTGGACACTCAACACCCCTGCTCAGCCACTGCAGTCCAGCAGGCCAATCCCGGCACGATGACGTCGAAATGCTGCAACCGGTAACCCTTTTGTCATCATGTCCGCAGCTTGTTCGATGAACGGTAGGAACTTGAGAGTGATGCAACCATCCTTTATCAAGTCCTCTGCGATCCTCATAGCAGACTGATTATCATCGTAAACGCAGATCACTTCCTTGCTCCTGTATCCCAAATCTTGCAGAAGACGGCTCATCCTCATCTTGTGGCAGGCCACCATGCAGAGGGCTGTCAGCTCTGCCTCGGTCGACGAGAGAGCGACGGTTTGTTGCTTGGCTTGGTGAGCCAGCTGACTGTATTTCCGAACACCTTAAACACACCACCGCACACGGAACGACGATCAGAGGAGTCGTTGGCCCAGTCGGCATCCGAAAAGAACTCCAGCAGCGGTGCTGCTTTATCCGCACGGTAGACCAGTCCGAAACCGAGCGATCCCTTGACGTATCGCAGTATCCTTTTCAGATGAGTCCAGCGCTCATCGCTGGGGAAGCTCTGCAACTGGCTATAGAAGTTCACTACCGCTGTCAGATCCGGTCTAGTGGTTAGGGCTGCGTATGACAAGCAACCAACTAGTTCCCTGAACGGCTGCGCGGTTCGATTCTGTTCGTTCCCTTTCGGCAGCTTCAGGCGGTTCTCGATGGGCGTTGAGCACGGCTTGCAGTCCTCCATTTTAAAGCGTTTCAGGACGTTATCTTCATCACACCGCCAGCCCAATCGTGGTTAACTTGCTGTCCCAGAAAGCACTTGATTTCACCGATGTCCTTCATTTCGAATTCCTTTGAGAGACAGTCCTGCTTTCAGCGACGCTCCGGCAATGAGTATGTCGTCCACATAAATAACCATAATCATCCTAATCGCTCCGGATCCGCGGGTGTACAAGCACTGATCGTTGCCGCTTTGCTTGAAGCCAAGATGGTTCACCACGAATTTGTTAAACCGACTGTTCCAGGCACGAGATGCCTGTTTAAGGCCATAGAGGGATTTTTGAACACGGCAGACTAGGTTTTTTCCATTTGTGAACCCCTCCGGTTATGTCATAAAAATCTCCTCAGTGAGTGATCCGTGCAAGAAGGCGGTACAAACATCCATTTGAAGCACCACCATTTTGTCCCGACAAGCAATCGCCAAGACAGAACGCAAAGTGTCGAGTTTGGCGACCGGATAATATGTTTCACGATAATCGAAACTGAACTTTTGGTCGAAACCTCTGGCCACTAGCCATGCTTTATAGCGATCCGGTTTCCCGTTCATGCCAGGCTTTATCTTGAAAACCCAGCGTGATCGGCTTTCTATCTCCTGGCAGCTTGGTCAAAGTCCAAGTTTCGTTATTCGTGTGGGCTTCTATTTTCTCGTTGACCGCAGCTTCCCACTTCTTCCGTGCTTTCGCTTCGGTCAGCGTCCTTGGCAAATCCTCGACGTAATATGTGGCGCTCAGCGCATACGCCGCGTACTCCATATCATAGTCAGTTTGCCACGCAGGTGGTTTCCGCTCACGCACTGGTCGACCGGAGCTGATGGGTTCCGCTGGACCATGCTCGCCATCGTTGTTCGAACCGAATTCCGATTATGCTCCAGTATGGTCTTCTTCGAAGAAACTCTCGTACTCCGATACCGATTCCACCGATTCCGATAGGTGCCACACTCTATAGCCGTTGTGAGCATAGCCTAGGAATAGCCCTTTCCAAAATTTAGCGTCCAACTTACCTCGTTGCTCTTTTGGAATGTGGATGAACACGAAGAAACCGAAGACTCGAAGTTTCTGGGCCTCCGGCTTTGATCGTTTGATTGTCTTCTTCTTCGCATCTTCTTTCTTCTTTTTCCGGGCATTCGGCCAGCTTGTGGCCTTCTTGTTTACATCCGAAGCACTTGATTTTTTTCTTCTTCGGCGCCTGCTTCCCGCTACTGAAAGCCGCCGGCTCACTTTTCACTATGCACATTTCGGTGCCCTTTCGCTTCGTTTCTTCGTCCAGGAGGCGACACTTAACGAACTCCAATGTGAGCACATCCTCCGGCGTAGTTTCGAGTGCCGTGACGACCGCCGAATAAGACGAACCGAGAGTCAGAAGGAGATGGCACACTATGTCAAGCTCATCGAGGGCCGCGCCGGTTGTCCTATAGAGCTTTTCGACGTTTAATCGGCGCACACTACTGCACCATTTAAATCGAAGAGGGAAACAGATTAGTGGGAAAACAAACCGTTCATTCATCCATGTGTGCTAGATAGAGAAAGACGATTAAACGTCAAAAAGGTCTATACTCGCGCACAAGATCATACTCGCGCAACGAGAGCATTTGCCGCTTTAGGTGAAATCGGCTCGCCACACTATGCCTCTCGAACACTCGGTGCAACGCATCCCACACATCTTTCTGGTGCTGTTTGTCGCTAACGTATTCCAATTGCGAATCATGGATCCGCCCGATTAGCAGCGATTTGCATCTTGTCTTTATTAAAGAAGAGAGTAACATGGAATGAAAAGCGGAAGTTGTTCGGATTTCTTAGGAAACAGTCCTTGGAATCTGCCTTGTGTAGATAGCAGATCAAAGCTGCAATTAATTTTAATCATTTTAATTTTAAGAGGATATTGACTTACATTTAGTTTTTGCACGTTATTCTCTTGCCGATGACCTCAGCTTTTCTTTCCGTACTATAGTTGTAAGTATTAGCCGTAAGTGATCTCGTCCTAGTTCAAACAAACCATTAGGCTAATTTAGATTTATAATTAAGAATATCTACCTGATCCTCAAATATCAGTCACTAAACCGCTAACTCACGCTAAACTAATCAACAAATTCACCACATTTATATTTCGATTTCAACTACAAAGTTTATCGCGACTGCCAATTTTCTGCATGTAATTGTATTTGACGTTTGATATTCTTCTCCTCTTCCGTTCGCATCCTTTCTTCGCTGACATCTCGCATGACATTTCACACTCCAACCGATCCGTCCGACGGCAGTGGTGCCAGAGGTGTTGTCCCGAACAGAAGTGTTGGTGTCTTTGTTATTTCTCTTCTTTAATAAACACATTTTCATTGAACTAGTTAGTTCTGTCGGTCTCGTTGGTTTTTCCTCGTGTGGTCATCCGAAAACCCACTTTAATCTCTGCCAAATACATTGTAGGATTTTTTGCGTCACTTCGTACTGCCGTATGCGATCAAAATTTACCTCCGTGAAGTCGAAGTCTGTAAGTGCTTTCAACGCTGAACCAACCAAGAAATGGATCGAAGTTCGATGAATCGTCGCTTAGTGGAAACAGTGGACGTGAATTAAGGCAGGCTTCAATTTGATAGCGAATTTGCAAATCCAGGTTGGAACCAGTTCCAGTTGTCAGTGCAAACCTCAACCCCAGCCAGGTTACAAAACACACACATTTACACTGACGTTTGACAGAAAACAAGCCGACCCAATTTTGGGAGGCTTTCGGTGGATTGAAGTGCCACTTGATGCCAAGTTCGGTGCACTCCTGTGCGATAGTCTGCCGGTGGTACTTGATTTTAACCAGTGCTCGTAGCTCCCTGTCTGCTCCTACGCATATTTGAACATAGCCCCCGGCGTGAAGACTGCCACGTAGGCCTTCCTAGAAGCAGCTCGTCGATGGGTTGGTTGTCCACAGCTGTCGATGAAGACGGTCTAGAAGCTGTAATCTGTGAGGCGGCAGTTCAACCATAAACTGCTCGAGTAGCTTGGGGCGAGCTCGAACGCACACGATGCAGTTGTGGACAATTCGACGGGTCAAACTCCTGGCCCCTAAGATCCCATACCGGAGCCGTAAGGCAGTGAGAAGTAGTTGTGGTGCAGCGTGTAGGTGCTGCTCATGGTAGCTTCACACAAGAAGTGCTAATAATGGATGACGGAAGGATAATGTGATGCTTGGCATCGTAGAGCTGAAGTGCTTGCTTCAAACGGCTTCCAATGCGAATCATCCCGTCAGTCGAGAGATAGGGATAGAACCACTTGTTTTTGGAATTCTTCTCAACAGGTTTAGATTGCTGTAGTAGCTTCCGATTTTCACCGAAATATTGCTGCTGAACCAATCTGATTAATGTTGCTTCTGCCTCCTTCATTTCTTCTGCGTTGATTTGGATCTCGTCCGGTCGCTCTTCCGTGATGCGCTGACAATTTCTGGAAAATCGGTGGCAATCTGCAGCATTCGATGATAACTGGATAGTGCAAGCTGATCGATGAACGACGGTTTGGTGATTACAGTGGTCAAAGCTGGTGGTATCTTGCGTGCTTCTCGGGATGCTGCTGTGTCTTCTGCTGGGTCGATCAGCTGTGTAGGCTATTCCTGTTCGTTGCGTCTAAACCATGGCGGTCCATACCACCAGAGGTCGTAATAACGTTGGATCCACCGGAGAATAAGTTGTCTACATAAAAATCCTTGCAGAGAACTTCTGCAGCCTAGGGGAAATTTTCTCGTTCATCCCTGCAAGTTGTTTAAGTACCCGTGTGGTGAGAAACGGCACGCTGGCTGTCCCGTACGTTACCGTTTTCAGTTCGAAATTGAAGAGGGGCAAATCGGGAGAGGGCCGCCAGACGATAAGTAGGAGAGGTGTGTCGCGTTTGTCCACCAGAACTTGCCGGTACATTTGTTTGACGTTGTCTGTGAGCAATACGGGATGCTTCCGTGAACGCATCATGATTGAACTCATGTCTTGTTGGACGATAGGCCCGACCATTAGAGCATAATTTAAAAATGGTCCCGTCGCTGACTTACAAGATGCATCTAAAACAGCTCGGACCTTGGTGGTTGAGCTGCCTTCTCGAACCACAGCGTGATGAGGAAGATGGAAACACGGTATCGGTGTACTCTCGTGGTTCTGTACACGTTCCATGTGACCGATATTGTAGTATTCATCCATAAATTAGAAGTATTGTTTACTGAGGCCTTCGTCACAAGACAGTCGACGTTCTAGCAAATAGAAGTGCCTAATAGCTGTATTACGTCAACTTGGTCAAGTTGACCAATATGTCGTGACCTTTCCACAACATTTCACTCAGTCACACGAGCAGTCACAGTGTTCTTCCGTCAATGTCTCTTGAATCTCTGTCTTCCAAATTTCAAAACATACGCCTATCACCGACAACATTCGCCAAAAGCTTGCACACAGGTAACATTCCCATAGAGATCTCCAAGTGCAATCTCACGAACACTAAAATCCAACATCTATTTATAAAAATGAAGAAGAAGAAGAACCAAAAGTTATCGCGATATCACAACTACTTAAAATGTAGCGTGCGGTCTCACGCACACTTTTGTGCATCTGGAGAACTCTATTCGTGATACACTGTCACCGCTGTCACTCACACAATCATCCACTCAATCTTGCTTTTCTCTCGATTAGTTTACCAAGCCTCTTACTGTTTTCACAATTGCCACACATAGCTATACACATTTACGTATGCGCTGGTGAATGCATGCCCCTCCGTACTGTTATGCTCCGTTCATTAGTGGCATCTTCAATAGGGATGTCTATTTTTTTATTGCAGTCATAATTAAATAAATAATTATGAAAAGGTGTGAGTACATTTATTTATTTTTAAATTTTATTTCTCTTGCATGTCTTATATACTACACAATATATCCTCCTTCAGTGGAAATCGAACGATATAGCGCCCTTCGGAATTGTGAGAGAAGGTTTGCTGAAAATGCCGCTTACACGCAGCT